GTCCTCGACTTATGACTACAATTGAGCCAAAATTACCATTGCTAAGCAAGTCAGTTGTTAAATGTGTTTTGTCCCATTTTATGACCTTTCTTGCTACAGTTATTAAGTGATTCACTGCATTATTGTTAGTAACATGGTTTCCCCATTGAACTTTGCTTGTCAGGGGTTGCAAAAGATGATCAAATGACCCCAGGACACTACAACTATCATAAATACATGCCAGTTGCCAGGCATCTGAATTTTGGTCACGTGACCATAGGGGGTGCTTCAATCATCATGTGAAAAATGGTCAGGAGTCACTTTTTTCAGTGTCACTAAACAAATGGTTGAGGACTACACAATTTCTGTGGGCAGCAGATTTTAAGAAGCCATCAGTGGAAAAGATATAAATTAGGGTTGACTACGGTTTAGGAGGAACATCAGGACACCAAGCCAAGAATAGAGAATCATATGATGGCCCTTTTTAATACCTGGAAGGAAGTTACAAAGAAGGAAGTTTGTTTTGTTCCCAGTGGTAGTTGAGTAAAATCCCTCTCCTGAAGTTATTCTTTGCAAACACATAAATCACTCCTTGGCAGCAATAAATTGTAATTCTTCCATATGACAGGTTTTTGTTTTTTTTTTAAAAAAAGGAAGATTAAAAACCAATACAAACGAAGTATAAAAACAGAAATCAAAGAAAGTTAAAAGTTCAAGGAAAGTTAAAAAAGAAAAAGTTACAAAGACGGGGCTTCCAGTGTACTTTACAGCATTTATAAGTTCAGTTATAAATTTATCTATGCTTACAACACAACTTTTTCTATGTTTTCTGTCTAATCGTCAAAACTAGAAATCACAAGTTCCTTTTTTGCCTCACAAAAAGTTTATAAGATGTTTCAAATCAGCAACAAATGTTAGTCAATTTGGCCATTTCAGCAAGTTCCATCTTTACTAACAGTTCCTCTATTGTGCATATTGCCAAATCTTTCCATAATCTTACTGTAGTTATATACAAAAACAAAGTTCCATAACTTCTTTCCAACTGTTTGTACACCAATCCCAAAAGTAAAACACCGGTTTTTAATTGTATCTTTAAAATGTTCTGAATCAGTGTGTAGGTAATTCGCAACTTACGACTAAAATTGGGACCAGAATTTCTGTTACTAAGCAAAGCAGTTGTTAAGTGAGTTGAGCTTGATTTTATGATTTTTGCCACAGTTGTTAAGCGATTCGCTGCAGTTTAGTCGTTGTCTGGTCGTTAAGCAAATCTGTCTTCTTCCCCTGTTGACTTTACTTGTCAGAAGCCAGCTGGGAAGGTCACAAATGGCAATCACATCATCAGGGATGCTGCAACCATTGTAAATACATGCTAGTTGCCAAGCACCCAAATGCTGGTCACGGGACTGCAGGGATGCTGTGATGGTCTATTAAGTGTAAGAACCACTTGTAAGTTGCTTTTTTCAGTGGTGTTGTAACTTTGAATGGTCCCTTAACAAGTGATTGTAGGTCAGGAATTACCTGTATATTTCTGAATCCAGAATTTTCTAGCTTTTTTACACATCCACCAGACACATCCACCAAATTCTGGTAAAATGACTTCTGTCAAGGACCGGGGCATAAGAGTTCAATCAATCAGAATAGAGCTGGAAGGGACTTTGGAGGTCTTCTAGTCCAACCCCCCAGCCTCTACTCAAGCAGGAAACTCTATACCGGGGTAGGCAACCTTGGCTCTTTTATGACTCGTGGACTTCAACTCCCAGAATTCCTGAGCCGGCCATGCTGAGGGGAAAGGGAGAGTTTCCAAGCTGAGCCATGCTGGCTCAGGAATTCTGGGAGTTGAAGTCCACGAGTCATAAAAGAGCCAAGATTGCCTACCCTTGCCCTACACCATTTCAGATCGGTCTCCTGTGGTTTTGCATTGTTTGTCAAAAAAAATATGCTGCAGTAAATGCAAAGACTTATTGAACCAATTGTATCCTCTCTCTCTGTCCAGTCAATAGTGTCCAAAGTTTCATTTGAACTGAGGTAGGCTAGATGTACAGAAATTTGTTTTTATTTTTTCCTTGGAGGGCTGCATTTTCTCAGGAGATTATCTTGCACTGTAGGCACAGCTGATATCAATGGTAGACTGCACCAGAATGAATTGTTTTCTTTTTTCTAGTAGGATGCTGAAGGATTGAACTGATTATGGTATGTGTGTGTGTTTGTATACACATCAAAAAAAGTCAAGTTGGTGGCCTTGATTGCATGATCAAAGCTGTCTTTTATTTACATGGGCACTTCCTTGAGCCTGCTGTCTTAATTCTTGACTGGGTCCCCTGATTAACTGCTTTGAGAATTAAACAAAGAGCTACATGTTTGCCACTAAATTATGCCTTTTCCTATTTTTCAGTTGAATATCTTTTTTTACATGATTAATTACTGGCAAGTCAAGCTTTATAAATTAAGTACACCGTGACCCATTTCCTGATGCATCCTGATGATTCATGCCCCATCAGAATGTTATGTTCTCTCAGGACCTCATCTTTATTATTAGAAAAGAAATAGGTTTATATATTGAAGAAAATCTAAGCTTTTATTTTGAAGTCCCCTGCTTATGTAAGGTGATCCAGGTTATGCAATGGAAAAAATAGCTAGGAACAGTTTATATATATTACCTACATATTATATATAAGATTCACACACACACATATATATATACACACATGTATATAATATAAATAAGATAACCTCAATTGTCACTTTTTTCTGTGACACTCACACATTTAAAAAAAATGAAATTCTGATGCCCTCTCTCTCTCTCTCTCTCTCTCTCTCTCTCTCTCTCTCTCTCTCTCTCTATATATATATATATATATATATATATATATATATATATATATATATATATATATATATATATATATATATATATATATATATATATATATATATATATATATATATATATATATATATATATATTTGATTTTTAAGGTTTTCACGGGTGTTTATATGTGAGTCTTTGGTCATTCGGGTTTTCTCCCGTGTAAGATTAGAAGTATCATAGCGACGTTTCGANTTTCGATGAAATCACATTCATCATCATCAGGCTTGTGCTTTTAGCTTTGTGCTTCTCAGAGTAATTACTCTGAGAAGCACAAAGCTAAAAGCACAAGCCTGATGATGATGAATGTGATTTCATCGAAACGTCGCTATGATACTTCTAATCTTACACGGGAGAAAACCCGAATGACCAAAGACTCACATATAAACACCCGTGAAAACCTCAAAAAATAAATGTCTCTAATTATATTAAAAATACGAATCCTGGGTAAAGCCATGCAATAAAAGTAAGTAAATTTGAACACCAGGATAATATCAAACTAAAAACTGTTTAATACAAATGCTGAGCTTTCGTCGGCCAACACTGCCAACATCGTCAGAGCATAAAAGCAAGTTAATGGGAGTTCTCTTTATGTTACCGGTCGGCTCTGCGCCCAGCTTTTTCGACCTGGTAATTGGTTCAGTCAATGTCTCTAATTGTTCTGTTTTTAAAGGGCACGTGTTTGCTGCTCCCTTAGTAGTTTCCAAAGTTGCTGTTCCATTTTCCCCTTTCCTCCCCCCAATCCCTTTCCTCGTAGCATCCAGCTGTGTGCTGCTACACTATTGGTTTCTGAAGTTGCTGTTCTCCCTTCCCCCTTCCTCCCCCCAACTGCTTTCCTTGTATGCATCCAGCTGTCACATTGTGCCGAGCGCTTTCACTCATTCCCCCCCCCCGCTTCTATCTTGGGGCATGTCTGTTCTTCCCCTGTGGGGCTGTCAGCAGGCTGTGCGTTCATCGCGGTCCTCTTGCTTCTCCATCCTGTCGCTCCTGCACGTGTGCGGGCGTTCACAACGACGTCGGCAGTGTTGGCCGACGAAAGCTCATCACATTCATTTTTAATAAATGTGGGAAAAAAAAGTCTTGAGAATTAACCAGGTCGATACTATATCGTACAAAGCTATTACAGAATCTAGCTCAGTGGTTCTCAACCTTTTTAATACCGTGACCCCAACCGGTCGTAAGTCGAGGACTAAACCGGTTGTAAGTCAAGGATTAAACCGGTCGTAAGTTGAGGACTACTCAACCGGTCGTAAGTCGAGGACTTTCCCTGCCCGGGAGCGCCACGCATGCGTGGTTCCGCCCCCTGCGCCGGCCGAGGCGTAGCTGGCAAGCGGCAGAGACGGAGCAGGCTGACCACCAGCTGGCCCAGCTGAAGGGAGGTAAGGCACCCGCGGGAAAAGGGAAAAAAAATGGCGGACAGCCTTGCTTGGTGACCCCCGTGAAATGGTCGATCGACCCCAAATGGGGTCCCGACCCACAGGTTGAGAACCACTGATCTAGCTGTTCTGCTTCGGATACCACAAAGCCTCCTCCCAGAAGGTAACAAAGAAAACTGGTCATGGAAAGGACGTGTAGCTTCCCAGACAATATTGCGGACCCTAGTCAAGCATCGCTTATAAATACACAAATGTTTAAATTTTGTTCTAATCTTATTTTTGTTTGAAATATACCATTCATGCTATACCACCTGTTAACAAGAAATTGTAGAATGAAACAGCTTAAAATACACTTCAAACAATTCAAATCAGAGCAATTGAAACAAATTGAAACAGTGGAAACTGAATAGTTTGCTGGGCTTTATTACAGCACTAAGATTAAAATCAAAAATCAAGTACTGTATAGGATAATACTGTACAAACATATTGAAAGGAAAATGAAGCCTGATGCCTAAGACATGGCTGTAGTTTTCTTGGCTATAAAATGGACGTGGTTTACCTTTGGGGAGTTCCTCTCTCCCCACTTAGCCTTTATTTCTTAGTTATGGTTGAGTGAACTACTACAAATCAAGTTGGGCTTTGCTTAGCTTTATGAGGTCAGCCAAAGCCAAGCGTCACTACTTAGTTCAACTAAAAGGCATTTGCCTATCGCTGAAAATTTGTAGACAGTGCTAGGCAACTTTTCTGAGGAGGCTATTTTAGACTTGTGGGACCTACTACTCTTACTACAGAGCCAAGTGAGTATTGTGGCTAAAGGCAAGAGGCTAGAAACCAGGAAACCAGTTCTCTGTAATCCTGGAATACACTCTCGTCTTAGGCAGAAGGAAATAGCAAGCCACATCTGAAAGTGTTGCCAAGAAAACTGCAGGGACTAGTCTAGACAGTTACCAGGAGTCAAGACTAACTTGAAAAGGGAGAAGGAAAGGGGAGGGGGCTATCAGGATGCCATGCGAGTCGACTTTTGGATAGAGAAAATAAACACATAAATACATAAAAGACATATTGTTCAGCTTTAGAAACAAACATGGCTCCAACTATTCAGCATTTTGCAAGAGTGATTAATATAGACCAACCATGAGATCTACTTAGGTTAAGAGGACAGGACTGGCAAATTAAATCATTGGAAGAGTTAAGACAGGATAATGTACTCCAGTCCTGGCTTTTATATTTTCAATTGGTTGAGAGATGGCATATAGATAAAAAATTGGGTTTAATGGTAGATGATGTGAACTTGATAAAACAGACTAAAGATCAAAGTAGAGCCCATATTAGGAGAATATATAGTGTGTTGATAGAACTTGATTCGGAAACAGAATTGGTTAAAGATTGTATGATTAAATGGGCTCAAAATATTCAAGAACCAATAAAGTTAGAAACTTGGGAAATAATTTGGATAAGAAATGTCAAGTTCACTCAAGCACAGAATTTAAGGGAAAATTTTTATAAAATGTTTTATAGATGGCATTTGGATCCTCAAAAATTGTCTTGCATGTACCCGAATTTGCAACCTAAATGTTGGAGATGTGGCAGTATGGATGTTACTTATTATCATATTTGGTGGACATGTAGGGATGTTAAAGCCTTTTGGATTAAGATTTGGTGGAATATTCAACAGATTTTTAAGAAAAAGATAAAATTTACATCACAATTATTCTTATTGGGTATTATGGACAATTTGGACCAAAAAGAAATGAAATTGATGTTGTATTGTATAACAGCAGCAAGGATCTTAATTGCTCAAAATTGGGAAAAAAAGATCTTGCCAACTATGGATGATTGGAGACAGAAAGTATCGTATTTTGCAGAGATGGCAAAAATATCCGCGTACCTGAAGGATCATTCTCAGGAGAAATTTATCTCAATGTGGAGAAGATGGATAGATTATATTCAGAGAAAGTATGAGTTGAAAAATTATCATGTAGCTTTTGATTAAAAATTTTTAAACAAAAATATGTATAACAAATATTGATATATTTTAAAAAAAAATTGTATGTATTTTAATGTTTTTTTAGAGTCACAGTAAGTTAATACTAGTGTGTAGTAATAATGAGTAGTTGGGGATAGAATTTGATTATTGTGTGTTTATTTCCTAGATTAGCTTTGGGAAGTCCTGGGGGGGAGAGGGGGGAAAGGGGTAGGTTTGTATTATAGATTTATATGTACATATATGTATGATTTTTAAGGAGGTGTCCGGTGGTGCCTCAACTGCACAAGACGGGACGGTTGAGTGAGGAAGGGATGTAGGAAAGAGGGAGGAAGGAGGAGTGGTGGTAGTTTTGGGAGTAGGAAGGTGTGGTATGTGGAAGAGGGTGGTGCAGGGGGGGGACACTGGACGCGTCCGTGAATGTATTGATTAGTGTTATTTTTTGGGGGTTGATATTGTGATAAAAGATCTATGTTTTTGTTTTTAATTGAAAAACTAATAAAAAATTTATTTAAAAAAAAAATATAGACCAACCATGTATGACTGCAATGAATGATGTCTTCAGGTTATCAGTTGATTATAATGGGTTATGAGAATAACCTTCAGGAACAAGAGAAAGAACTGCAAAGAAGGAATGAAATTTGAGAATATGTGTCAGATTTCACCCTCCTTAGTTTTCTTTTGACTAAAAGCAGGGATGGGTGGAGGTAGATTCAGAGTTGCAAGATTTAGTTACTGCAACCTTATAATAAACATTTTAATATTCATAACGTGTTCAAATCTGATCTACCTCAAGGAGCTAAATGTACATTTAGCACATTTCTGTTTCTTTTTTTTCTTCAGATTTTTCTCTTTTATAATTTTGTGCATTCTTTTTTCTTAAGATGTTTTTTACTTCTTAAAAAAAATTAAAAGACTGTTGAAGGCACAATATTACTAGTAGTACTATTATTAATGAGAAGGCCTGCTATTGGTAAATCAAATAGGAACACACAGAGGGCCTTTATACAGATAGCCCTTGACTTAACACGACAATTGAGCCCAAAATGTTTGTTGCTAAGTGAAACATTTGTTAAGTGAATTTTGCACCATTTCACAACTTTCTTGCCATAGTTGTTAAGTGAATCACTGCAGCTGATAAGTTCGTAACCTGGTTGTTGAGTGAATCTTGTCAGAAGGTCGCAAAAGGTGATCACAGGATCTTGGGACACAGCAACGATCATAAATATGAACCAGTTGCCAAGCATCTGATCACCTGACCATGGGGATGCTTCCATGTCATAAGTGTGAAAAATGGTCATAACTTACTTTTACAGTGCCATTGTAACTTTGAACAGTCACTAAATGACACAAGCTCTATGTCCCATCGGATTTTATCTATGTTTTGAAGATTGTTTTTAATTACAAGTAAGTGGGAATATTTTGCTGAAAAATAAAAGTTCCAGTCTTCAGCAATGTATTTATTTCTAATAATGGATCTTACTTAGAGCCTAGTTAATTTTCTCAGAAATTAAAACACCAGGAAAAAGATGCCCAGTGTTCTTATTTTTAAAAAACTTTGGAAGTATGCCTCTTTCCTCTGCTCCCAAGTGGTTGCTCAAATTGTAAAAAATATTCTGAAGAGATTAAAGAGGATTTAGGAGCAAGTCCGCCTTCAGATAGTCCTTAACCATACATTTAGCAATAATTTAATGTTAACAATGGCACTAAAAAAGGTGACTTACGACCCGTCCTCAGACCTATGACCATTGCAGCATCCCCCATAGTCCTGGGATCAAAATTTGGGTACTTGGCAACTGGCATGTATTTACAACAATTGCAGCATCCCGGAGTCATGTGGTTGCCATTTGTGACCTTCTCAGTTGGCTTCTGACAAGCAACCTTAATTGGAGGAGCTAGATTTGCTTAACAACCATGTGATTCATTTAACAATCATCACAGAAAAGATCATGAAATCAGGCCCAACTTAACAACTGCCTTTCTTAGCAATGGAAATTCTGATCCTATCTGTGGTCGTAAATCTGTACTGTACTATCTGTACTTTCCTTCTATCAAATGGGTGACTGTGACCAATAATCTCACTTCAGAAGTCCCCGTATGAAATATTATATAGCCTTTGAGTAGACTTTATATTATTTTTATTTATTTATTATAATTTATGTAATTATATTATTATTCATTATATAGTTATATATTTTATGGTTATATTAAGTTGATATTTGTTTATTTGTTTTTAGAGTTAAAGTATGTTTATATTTGATTGTATTATGGTTGGGTAGTTTTAATTAGACTTGGGATGATATGTGCTTAACCCTGTACTCAGTTCTGGGAAGTCCGGGGGGGGAGGGGGGATGAAGGAGGGTAGAGATATGTAAAAGTTGGTGTATCAAAATGTTGTAGAGAAATAATGTAAAGTTTTATGAAAAGGAGATGCTCGGCTAGTACCCCCAAACTGCATTCGAAGGATGAGGAAAGGAAGGAGGTGGGATGTGTAGGGTGGTTGAAAGAGAGGAGAGAGGTGTAGGTAGGAGGATAGGAGGGGAGGAGGGAAGTAGGTAGGAAGGGTGAAAGCGAGGGTGGATGCGGGGGGGGGGGGCTGCCGAGCTGCTCTGAATTTTTTATGTTTGTATTTAATATGATTTTTTCATTAATGTATACTATATTTGTATTAAGACTTTGGGGGGGGGGTTATTTGAAAAATTAATAAAAAGTTTTCATTGGAAAAAAAAAAAGAAGTCCCCGTATGAGAGTATCCTTCCTCAAATTCAAAATGTACCCACATGCCTTCAAAAGTAAAGTCATGATTTAGACCATGAGCCGTTGTGGCGCAGTGGTTAGAATGCAGTATCGTAGGCTAACTCTGCCCACAGCCAGGAGTTCAAACTTGACTGATTTAAGATTGACTCAGCTTTCCATCCTTCTGAAGATGGTCAAATGAGGACCCAGATTGTTGGGGGCAATATGCTGACATTTGTAAACCACTCAGTGTTGTAAAACACTATGGAGTGGTATATAAGTCTAAGTGCTATAGCTATTGCTAGATCAGTGTTTTTTAAATTTGGCGACTTTAAGATTTGTGGATTTCCTCCCCCAGAATTCCACAACCAGATTCTGTGAGATTGATAAGACACCCCCCACCCCTGCCCCAGGACATATTTATCCAGGAATGATCAGAACAGTCCCAAGGATGTAATACCCATGCTCAATTCAGGCAGTCTCCTGAAGTTGATCAATGGTTTCAACAATCAGCCAGAGTCTCAAAAAAAAAATCATAACATATCTCCTTGTCTCTCTTCTACCCAAAGTCATTACACAGGGCAACCAACAGCTTCATACCCTATCTTAGGCTAAATACAATTGAGTATTTATTCTTTATTTGTTCGTCCAGCAAGAACATGCTGAAATTGTTCCATGTTCCCTCTCCCAGTGGAAAATTAAAAGGAAATGCATCATTTTTCCAGCTTGGGCACACCACAGAAGATTAAAAGGGTTTTGACACTCCGGGAAGGATGCTGTGCAGTAATTTTGACAACTACTGAGATACAATCATTTCCATATTCCAAAATGTGACCAGAACTTCCAAAGGAATGGCTCATATAATCTGGAAAGTCTCCCAGGGACATTTGATATCCATGGGGATCCATTAGCCTTTGAGAATGGACTTTCCTCCATGCCTAGAGAAATAGATACAATAAAGCATAGAGGGTTTCCACTTTTTGGGGTGGAATATGGACACTGCTGGTATTTTGATAGTGATGAAGACTTTTCCTTCAACAAAAGGGGGGATATTGTGGGGACAATCCAGAGAAAAGA